GGGGGGGGGGGAGGCTGGGGGAGTCCGAGGGGCCGTGGTGGGACTGAGATGGGGCGGTGCAGCACCCCGTGTGCCCCCAAGGGCATCTGCAGCCCTCCCACCACCTGCATTTCTACCCTCTGTTCCCACCAAAACAGGTCCCTGTCCTCCCTAGGGCTTCCCCACAGCTCTGCAGGGGCAAGAGAAGGAGTTTTGCTTTTGGATAAACTGGAGCATCCCTGGAGGGATTAGCCTGGACAGTGCGGGAGGGATGGTAGAGGGGTGGATGGAGCCCACATCCCCTCTGAGATGCTCTTGAGGCTTTTTGCATCCGCACGATGCTTCGTGGCAGCTGGGAGCTCACTGAGGTGGAGGTGATCGTCCTGCGTGCGCAAGTCCTATATGCAAAGGTGCGGTATATACAGCTGCTAAGTACACAAGGTCTTGCCTGCAAAAACCCTCCGTGCACACTGAAACGAGGTGCCAGGCAGCACGTGCCCCATCTTGGATGGACTCTGCTCCTGCCTGCTCCATCACCTTACACCTTCACCTTCCTCTGCAACGCCATCCGTGCTGTGCCAGGTCCCGCTTGCACAGATGGCCGGCAGCATCCCACTTGCTCCACCGCAAGGATGGGAGCCTCCCGGCTGAGGAAGGCACCTTAATCTCACCCCATCTTATCTAAATATTTGGGAAGCGGCGGTGGAGACAGGATGCGCTTGCCGGGGAGGAAGACCAGTCCTGAGCACAGCACGAGGGGTGAGCTCAGCATCATGAGGCCCCGGCCGTCCCTGGGAACCGCGGCTGGCCCTCGCCTGTCCTTTCGCTTTGCACAAGGAGAAACTTCCCCCCTCGAGCCCCTCTGTTGACTCCGCACCATCCCAGCTGCGTCCCTGGAAAAAAAGCTGGATGGGAAATCTGTCCCCAAGCCTGATGCAGGGGTAGCCCATGGGCAGCAAGAGGCGACCCCGGCAAGGCAGCATCCCCCAGAAAGCTCATCCCCAGTGGGACAGGGAGGAAGAGGGATACGGCTTGGTCAGGGTGGTGGTTTTATCATCTTCGGACGCTGGGTTGTGCTCCGACGCTTTAACAGTCCTGCAGTTTATCAGTCCCTGCCTGTGCAGCGTTCTCTGTGCGGCAGAGGCACAGAAAGCCTCTCTGCTGCCTCCCTGCATCCTCCTTCCCCGGGTTTTGCCACAGCTCTGCCTTCCCCCAGCCCTTAATAACCCACTTCTCCTCCTACCACCCCATCACGGGGGGGGGAAAGAACTTTAAATGCTTTTTTTTTTGGGGGGGTGGGAAGGGAAATGAGATGCGAGGCTAAAACCCAGCTGAGCACTGAACTGCTTTGCTCCTGGATGGTGAACAGTGCCTAAACCCTTTTCGAGGCTGAACTGGAGGGATTTACCCTTTCCAGGATTGGACAAGGGCACAGTAAGCCCCGCTGCAGCCGGCAGGGAAAGCCCCGGCGGCGGTGCCACGGCCCCGGTGGCTCTCCCCTCCCATTGCCGGAGCCGCTCGCATTCCTTGGCCGGAGTTGACAGGCGCTGCCGAGCAGCTCGAATCCGGTTCCCACACTGGCGGGGACCTAAAACTAACATCCCCGAATGAGGGAACAGCACTTGAGTCAACAAACTGCCCCCGCCAGCTGGACAGGGCGAGGGGGACCATGACCCTGCTCGGCATGGGGGTCCCTCCAGCTGCTCCAGGGACTGTCCTGTTGTGCCCAGCCCGGTGGGTGTCACACAGCAAATCCTCTCGGGCACCTGGGTATGGGTCCAGGTGGTCCCACTGTTGCTTTTGCATCCCCCAGCTGGAGCAGGCTCTGCTTCTCCTCAGCATCCTCCAACTCAGCTCACCGGACACCTCTGTGTCCCAGCTGGGGACACGATGGAGGAGCCCCTGGGAGGTGGCCACAGGGTTGTGTGGCTCAACCAGAGCTCGGGGGACACCAGGCCCCTCTGACATGGTCACCTCTTGCTTCACCTAATGCATTTTGGGGTTGGGATGAGGAACAGAGCATCCATCCATCCATCCATCCCAAGGCTGGAGCACCCCAAGCAGCCAATGAAAACCCAACTGAAGATAGACTTGTGAGCCAGACTTTGGGAAAGTTGTCCTATGTAATGCAAGGCATCAAGCTAATGAGCTTCGTTAGGAAACCCATTAAGATCCTACTGTAATCAAAGGAAGGAGAAGAGGTAAAAGGGAGGGTGGGGGAATATGGACCAAACTGTTCAGGCTGGTTGAAAGCATCACCTGAAGAGGAAGGATGCTGGGAACCAACCAGCACACAAAATTCCTGTGGTCCACAAAGTGGTACCAACCATCTATTTGGTCTTTTTTTTTATTTTTAGGATTTACAGTTTGATCTTTCATTGTTTTGGGGTTTTTTTTGTTTTTTTTTATTTTTGAATGTACTGCAGTTGGAGAAACTGCAGTGCAGCGGGGTGCAACGCCCGCAATTCCTGGGTTCGGTCCCAACTGTTTTGCTGGGTTCCCCGCATCGCCGGCGCTGCCCTGTGAGCCCAGCTATGCACGGGGCGGCTGCTCTGCATTGCCCCCTCCCCTGCCATTTGTCATCTGGGCACGTCCCCCACTGCTGCGGCCCCGCATTGCCCTCGACGCTTCCCCAACTTCTCTCTGGAGCTGAGCTTTTAGCCACCCAACCCTGGCTTGTTCTTGCGGACCAGGATTGGAGCCGTTTCTGGAACACTTCTCCTTATAGCGCGCACTTTCCTGTTTTCCCACGGGTTGTGAAATGCAAAGGATTTTTTCACTTTGCTGTCAAGATTTGGCTAGAGACTTGTTTACCAGGCCTACAAAGCAGGGAAACCAGATAGTGCCATTTCTCTGTTATCTGCTCGGCTTGGGAGGCATAAAATTTGTTGCAATTTTCAGGAATATGCCAAGTGAAAAGTTAACGGCAAGCGGGTGGGAGGTGTTTTGGCAGCCGAGGAGAGCGATGCTATGGGAGGATGCACCCTTGCAGTCTTTCTGCAGCTGTTTCGAGGCGTAATTGGCATTTTGTACTAACAATGCTTCAGCTCGTTATTATGCCCAGAGGAATCAAAGGGAAACAGGACAGCAGACTCGCTGGCTCGCCAGCTCCAACATTCCATCGCCCAGCGGAGCGGGCAGAGAGGAGCGATGGGTGATGCCAAGCCCTGATGTCCACCCACTCCTCAGCTCACTGGTGCATCGCTGCACACCGGTGCTTCCCAGCCTTACCATCCCCATTTCCAAAAAGCCTCCCGGCGCAGGTCCAGCGAAGCCACAGGGAGGACAGTGGCTCCGTGGAGCACAACCACACCCAAAAGGAGGAGGGAAGGATTAAACACCAGCACGGTCATAAGTCTTCTGGGTGCTTTGGGCTCCAAAATTAGATTTTGCCAATCTGATGAAGGATTTTTGTATATTCAATATAAAATCTGATGAGAAGCTTTCCCAGCCTGGACACGGCTGCAGGTTCAGACATTGCATGAAGCGGAGCAGGGAATGCTCTCAGGAGAGGTTGTCCTGCTGTGGCATCTGGGTCACGGACATCGTGGTGTTAAGGTCCCTCCTTGGAGTCATCCTCAGCAGAAAGGGCGGCACGACTAAGAACACATCATTTCTGCAGGTGTGCCAGCATGGAGCATTTACACCCAGCAGCAGCCAAAGTAGGAAGGTGTGACCATGAGGTGGCAGCAGACAGGCACTTGTCCTCCTCCAGGAGCACGGTGCGTGCTATCGGGAGGTCCAAGCCCTCTCCAGGGCTGCCAGGCAGGGCCTCCACCAAGCCACAGGGAATTTCATGAGCCACTGTGGTCAGTAGGAGCGATCATGCTCATCTCAGCATGTATCTCAAGGGGTTTTATGGACACAGTGTGGCTTCACTTTGCGTCTCACGGTGAAGTCAAGAGTCAGTCCATTTTACAAAAGCAACAGCAGAGGTTCATGAACCTGAGCAGCTATTTCTGATGCTGTGCAGCATAAGCTGTGAGAAGGTCCCTGAAGTGCCCATTTCCCAGTGCTTACGCTGCCTTGGCAGTGCTGAGGTCCAGAAACCAGAGCATTATAATGCCAAAACCGACCCCTAAGCTCTACCCACAGCTCAGATAGATACAATCACCCTGTCAAGATCTCACCAGCCACGTGGTGTCATCTCTTCCCCTTTGTCAAAAAATTAGAACTTCAGCCTATTTAAAAGTTATCAAGATATTGCATCTTCCCTATTACAGGAAACTCATAGTTTCCACAAGAATAATTTCAAAACTGGGCATCCATCAGAAAAGCCAGCAGACAGTACCCATGCACCAGAAGAAGGAGTCTTAGTGTACAGCCTTGGGTTGGGCTTGCCTTTCCCCAACCTTGGCACTGCATTTTACTACTCCCTGGTCTTGTAGAGGGTCTATAACAAATGAAATGGATTTTTTTTTCTCTCACTTTAGGCTTCTGTTATAGCTGATATAGCATCGAGGAGCATAGTGAGTCCCAAAGCCCAGGCTGCTCTGCTTCCCAGATGCTCTGCAGTCGGATGCCACCCTACCCCAGCTGGGAGGTTGCAAGATCTCACCCAGTACACAGCAGCTGTGGAGGAACTTCACATTTTTTGCTTGGGTTTTGGGATGAACTTCTGCAAAAAGCCTTTGAAGAGGGAAAATTTCACCCTCTAAAATTTCCCATTTTTTGCTCTTTTTCTGAGACCTGGATGGGCTCAGCTGGGTCCTTCTACTTGAAGAAGACCCCATGGGCCTCTTCTCCTGCCATATCCTCTACCGGGTGATATTGCTGAGTGTGGGTTTGCATTTATCATTTTACACCCCAAAAGCAGTTGCATCTTACTACTCTCGTCTCTGTAGACTCACATGTTCAGAGTACCACAGGTTAAAAGCTGATCTCCGACAGAACACAGCTGCTAACCCTACATAGAAGTCCGAAAGGGATGGTACTTACACAGGTTTTAGCTTCTTTCAGATACATCATGGGCCAATTATTTTGCACCTGGTCTTTACAGATGACCTGAAAAGACAGAAGAAAAGCAACTCTCAGATCGTCGACATAGGTTGGAAAGCCAGTTGGTGACTAACACGACACACTGCCCCAAGCCAGGAGACATCCCAACCAAAGCTCAGATCCGTTTTATGGAAATGAGACAGGCCCAGGAGCCTTTCACTCAACCCTTTATATGTGGAAAAGGTTAAGAAAACTGACACGGTTGTCTGCAAGATATTTGCTAATGCACTTCCCAAACCAGGCTTAGGATTTGCAGTATGGGGTAAAGCAGGAATTGGCTCGGACAGTAGGAAGATCCATTCCAGCCCTGGCCTGCAAAAGATGAGTATCCCCTTTGCTCCTTCACAGCACTTTAGTTATCCTGATGTCTTGGTTTGAGGCCCGAAACCACAACACCTGGCTTGTGTTTTGAGACTCTTCTATGCTCCCAAACCATTTTCTGCCAATATCATCCATGAACGGTGGACACTGAATTGTGGTCTTTGTCCTCTCATCATGTTCCAGTCCACCCCAAGGCAGCTTCTGCTCTCTATAATGATTCTCTCTCTCTTCCCAATTTTCGCTTCTTCCCTCTTCGGCACCCAGACAATAATCCCCTTCACCTCCATGCTCCATGTCTCTTCACTGGAAAGTTATAGGAGAAAGGGGTTGGACTAGAAGACCGTTAAAGTTCCTTTCCAGCCCAAACCATTCTATTATTCTATGATCTAGAATTATTTTGCTGCCTTGTGTTTTCCTAAGGTGGATCTCTCTGACACAGAGAGGCACAGCGAGAAGGGCTGCAGGCTTTCCGTGTACATGGGGTGCCAGCTAAGTGTTAATGGACATCGCTATGAAGAGCGTACCCCTTCCCATAGGTGTCGTTACCTCATTTTGGAAAGAAGCGTTAGGGTGCTGGTGGCCAGGACTGCTGCTCGCCGTCTGGTCCCCCGGGGCTGGGGCTGATGGCTGTGCACTAGCAGGGCTGCGGTCAGCACTCGTGGGTTTGGTTGACACAGATGCGGTGTTGTGGCTTCTCTGGTCTGGGTCCCCAATATGCAGCAAAGAAAAAAAAACAAAAACAAGCAGACACTGATACAGCTGACACAATTCACGAGCAGCTGAAAATAAGTTTTCAGCTCCAGCCCTGCCTTGAAGCTCACTGTGTCAAAGCTTGGAGAGGTTTTGGGTTTCTTCTTTCTTTTTTCTTTTCTTTTTTAATTAACTGTGATATGAAAAAAAAAATATTACTGCAGATTGTATTTTCTGCTGCTGAAACCCATCAGACTGTTCTGGAGAGATGAACCCAAAGGCTATGATAGCTGTGTGTTGGTAGCTGCGTAATCGCTTAAAAAAAGGAGTAGTGCTGGGTAAATGGGATGGCCCTCATTTCACTTTGCCTGGGGCGTCTTCCTTGCAGATTTCTACAACAGAGGTAGACTACCTGAGCTGGCTACTGAGGATCTCCCAACGAATGGAGTTCATTGTGCAACCCCACAGACAACTGCATCTCCATCAGCTATGGAAGAAGCCCAGGGTGACATGCTTAGAAGTAGTGCCTGGTACTATGGGAGACAGCCTGGCGTGTCCTGCCTGCCTGCTACTCCTGATGGGCACACGCCCCACATCTACCAGGCCCACGCAGGTGTCTCCGATACCTGGGATCATCTCAGGCCCCTTTGTTAAGGTCTGTAGCATCTTACAGTTTCTTGTGCAATGGGAGTAGTGCAAGGAGCATAGCAGCCTCCTGCCTCCCCAAATCCTTTCGAAGAAATGGATCTCCGTCCCTGGGTTCCTAATTGATCCTTAAATGGTGACAAAGAGAATTAAAACACCACATCCTGTTCACAGTCTGTTTGCTTTTGGGATTTCTGCCTCTACCACAGAAAAGATGAGCGATATTTCTCTCCCAGACACATTCTGAAGGCTCCAGGAGAGAATTAATTTTAAAGCCATCTGTTTCTCTTGCATTCTCTCACCTATTTACTGAATCTAAAAGGTTTTTTAAACCTCTTCATGCTCAACGCTTGAGGTCAAATTTGAATTAACATAATTTCATATATTATCCTTTAATCAAGAGCAGTCCTGTGGAGCAGGAGGGGAAAGAAACATCCTTCATGAAGGCACACATTTCCTCTCCTAATGCCTGCTAACATGTTCAAAACGTGACTTGGATGAAGCCAGTGAAGAAGGTCTTGCATTAAGACCTTGGACCATTTAGTGATGCTGACAGCAAGGAGGAGCTGGAAGGCTGAGGGGGAAGGAGATGGTTCTTTAAGTGGCTTCTGTACTGCAGATGGTAGCTGGAAATTGGGTCAAGAACAATCTTCTGCAGAGGAAGATAATGAAGGGTTTCAGTGTCATCACAGCTTTTTTTCAGAGCCAGATGTGAGCTGGACCCACAATCCCACCCAAGTCTGGAAGGCTCCATGGAACCCTCACAGTCCCACAGTGTGATTGCTTCCCCGTAAACACTACCAGACAAAATACCAAAGGGCACCCTAAACTGCTCCTCACCAGGACACTTATGAACTAACATGGCTCTATGATGCTCCAGCGGTCTAGAGAAAACATATTAATGGTGTTCAGCAAGTTCCTAAACACCACGTGGACACTTATAATGCTGCTTAGACAGAAGTCAGCAGCCAAATGCCCCCCATGGCAATGATGAATATCCTACCTAACTGCTTAGACTCTTCAGAGTTGTAGACTCAGAGTCTACACAAAATCTCCTTAGTCATCTAAAGCTTATTTTCTATATGCATGCCCAGACAGCCTTCACTAAGCTGTCAGCCAAACTAGGGATCTTCTACAGTCAGCATTCCAGGTGCTGTCAATCTGTTTCACCAACTCCACAATGTCAGTCTCCACCTCCGAACTCATCGCTGCTGGATCCCTTTTGCAGTCACTGAAGATCGGGTCATTGCAGTTGATGGTGCTTCAGGCACAGTTTGGTCCATCCGAAAGCTGATGCCTATGCTTTGCCAGTTGATTCATGCCTTGAATTTCACTAACTGCATTGACTCGAACTCCACTGATGACAACGGGGACCTAAACACCCAGTTGTCATGGAGACAACTATGCTGGAAAGTCCTAAAATGAGACAAAGTGATGACACCCCATAATGACAGGAGGTGTTTAGGGCAGCCAAAGGAAAAGACCACAAAAAAGCCTCCCAGCTCAAGAAATCAAGGTTCTTATCTCCTGGTACCTGTTCCAAGAGTCGGTGTGGTGGTGTCCTCTGAGACCTTGATGATGCTGCCAGGTGACAAAGACAGAGATTCTTTACTAGTGGTGGGGGAGATGGATCCATCAACAGGGGTAACAGAAGTGTTGATGCTTCCACGTCTGGTGGAAGAGGTCAGTCCCTGGCCTGGAGAGCTGGGAGAAGAGTGAGGCTGCTTGGCAACAGACGTGGGAGAAGAGACACCAGAGGCAAGGCTGCTTGTTGGGACTCCAATGCTCGCAGTGGTGCTGGTCAACTGGTCCAACGGCTGGCTTCCCTGAGCTTCCACGGTGGGAGAGGATGCGACAGCAGTCCCTAAACCACCTGGGGTGGCTGGAGGACTGCTCGCACGAGTGGGGACGGGACTTGCAGCAGTGGTGGCTGCTGAGCCTCCCAAGCTGGCTGGAGGGATGGTCTTCTGCTGGGCCATGCTGGAAGTTGCAGCAGGGGTGGCTGTTGAGGCTCCAGAGCTGGCTGAAGAACGGACCTGCTGAGAGAGGCGGGGCGATGTCGTGGGAGCAGGTGATGGGTTTCCCGGGTTGTTTGTGGAGGTGGTCTCTTGAACTGCAGCAGGTGGTGTCACAGGGGTGGATGGTGGGTTTCCCGGCTTGCTTGTAGGGATGATCCCTTGAACAGTGGTGGGTGATATCACAGGGGCAGGTGGTGAGTTTCCCGGCTTGTTTGTAGGGGTAATCCCTTGAACTGCAGCAGGTGACGTCGCAGAGGGGGATGGTGGGTTTCCTGGCTTGCTTGTAGGGGTGGGCCCTTGCATCTTGCTGGTGTCTGTAGTTGTGTGGATCTGCCCATTTTCTCCTGGATTTGCAGCAGTTGGTTTTGTATCATCCTGAGAGCTGACACCTAGGGAAAAGTAAAAACGCCAAGATAAACTTTGAACTAAGGAAACTACCCTTGGTTTCCACCCAGAACAGGTATTTGTAGAAATAAATGCTGACCAGAAACCATGAGTCATTCACTCAGGGCTTGTCTCATGCTCTCTAAACTCATACCAAATGCCATGTGCTGGTATCGCCGTGTCAAGCAGAAAGCAGAGCAGAGGAGAAGTCAAACTCACAGGACTTCAAAGAGGTTGGAGGGTGAGCAGGAGGGCAAGACCTGCTGGTTCCCAGGAGGCCAAGACCTGCTGGTTCCCAGGAGGCAGATCTCCCTCATATGGGAGGGGCACCAGCTCCCGTGCAGAGTGCTGCAAGTCATTCCCAAAATAAAGTGTGCCCAACCCTTGTAAGGGACCAGCCAGTGGATGTGCCGAATTATGTTTGTCCAACCCTGTTATAAGGGTCTCTCACATCCCTGAAGTGGTGAGGAGCTTCAGATAAATAAGGTGGCACTTCTGACCATTCTGAAAGTTATATTCTTTTTGCAAGTTCAAGCTTTGTTTCTTTAATTGCTCACGTTTCAACTTAGTTATTTTTTTCTCTCCCAAACTCAAATAATTACTATAAAAACAACATAAAATAGGCACTCTCATTTAAATCCACAGATTAAAACCACTGAGGGTGGTGAGACACTGGAACAGGTTGCCCAGAGAAGTTTCAGATGTCCCATCACCGGAAGGGTTCAAGGTCAGGTTGGATGGGGCTTTGAGCAACCTGGTCTAGTGAAAGATGTACCTACCCATGGCAGGGGGGTTGGTCTAGATGATCTTCAAAGGTCCCTTCCAACCCAAACCATTCTCTGATTCTATAATTCTATGAAAATTTGTACACACGGAAATTCCCAGTTGGGTGAACTGTGGAAACAATATGGCTTTGGTGGGCACCTGGCATCCAGCCAGGGTTAACCCACCACACCAACCCCCCGAAACAAGTGTCACACATCCAAGGTTTGATTTTTAGCCATATCCTAATGCTGCTCTCCAGAGATCTGCTTCATTCATCTGTGCTGCCATACTGGCAAAGTATTTTCTCTTACAGAGCCTGTTTATTAGCTCTGGTTGTGCTCCAATGATCTGATGAAATCTTGAGCTTCTGAGATTCATACCACTGGGGAAATCTAGCCCCACCACAAAGGACCCCAGGGGGGTGTGGAGGTATGTTTGATACAGGACCTGGGGAGCGGGACTTGGGATGGGGAGGCTGCAACACTACAACTGCTGGAAAAGAGGTTTTGTGGAGACAAGTCATATTTCCTATAGACCGAGCACTGTCTGCAGGAGAAGTAAGAAAGCAAAACACAGGCGTGGGCACCTAGCAGGTGAAACCCAGGTGCAAAAGATAGGAGGGAATTTTCATCAAGGTTTATCCCATAAATAAGGCTGTAAAAGTTTTACGGGGGTTTTGACAGCAAGGGAGGTAGAAAAAAAAATCCCTTAAAGGTAGAAACAATACAAAAGAGACGTAAATAAAGAAAGTGTCGGAAGGAAGGTGGAGGAAATCCCCCACTGCTCTCGCTTCCTTTTTGTACCTCGGCCCCATCCCAGAGAGGCAGGAAGCAAACACGCACTGAAGGAGTGGTAGAAAAGACAATTCAATTCAACTTGGTCCAAAAGAGAAAGGGGCAGGCCCATGCTTTGGCTCAGGGCCAGCCTTGGTGGCCAGCTGGGACCCCACAAGCCAAGAAACTGGCATCCCTGCCCCAGTGCTTCCCCATCGCACCCTGGGGGAGCTGCAGCTACTTTTTTACCACTTTTAGCAAAAAATGGGGGGAAAAGCCCAAAGCAAGGGGTTGCTCTGCTGATGGTTCTCCAGGCTTGCCCTGGCTGGGGTGGTACTAGGGCCTCTTGCAAGGGACACAGGATGACTCAGCCCAAAAAAGCAAGTGAGAGAAGAACCAAGACTCGAGTTGATGCCCACAAAGCTTACTCGTATTTTATCTTTCCATATCTCTGCATCCGCTCTTAGTGCTCCTCTCCTGCTAAGGTCAAGAGCTGTTAAAAGAGAGATGTTAATTTATTCTTCCTCATTAAGCCAGGACCAGTGATTTAAGTGGGCTCAAAGCAACTTGAGGATCCAGCACACTCCTGCTTAGAAGTGGTGAGCCACCATGCAGGAGGATGGATGGATGGATGCATTCAACTGGTCCTGACCACGCAGGCAGGTAGGACACTATCCATCTTACTACGTGGGCCTGGCTGAGATAAGGCAACGCTAAGTGCCACAGAGGTAGAAATCACTCCTTTGGTGGGTAATGACCTGCATCCCTTTGGCAAATGGCAACACAAGTGATATATGAGCCAGAAAACACTTCGCCACACCATTCCTTCACTACAAACCCGCTCCTGCTGTATTGGGCTGGATGAGACCACTAGGAAGCTCTTTGCAAAAGCTCTCTCATCCCAAACTTGACCTGAAGGTGACGTTTCTTTAATAACCTGCACCCAGCCTAGCTGGGCTGCTACCAAATTTTACCTGTCCCCCTTTCTTCTTCCACAGCTTGCTTGTCTCAAAGCAGACTGTTTTGAAGAATTACTGTTGCTGGCCGAAATGCAATGGCTGTGGTGATCAGCAGCCATGGAGATGGCCATGGGAAGAAGCAATCCAGGCAGGTTAAAAACTTGATGATCTTCAAGACAACATGCACCACGATGGGCCGGATTCACAACACGCCAGTGTAGACCAGCCACGGCTACGTCTGGGTGAGATCCTCCTTCCACGGAGGATCGGCACCCCTATCCATCCCCACACCTCTCCTGCAGATTTTTGGGCACCCATCTGTCAGTGAAATTTACCTTCTCTCTCCAGTTGCATTAAATTAAGCTGTTTTCTCACTGCTGTTGCACAAGAAGCCAGATGCTGCTGTAGTTGTGGGGCTGTACACCTTTCTGTGGTTTTATTGCTCTGGGCTTAATATTAGTTGTTTGTCCAGAGACTCTGTCTCACTGCAGCATTGGGAAAAAACATATTTTATTTAGATCAGGGAAAAACAAATTGCTTTTTTTAGCGTGTCCTGCAGGTTCACGACACCCGCAGAAGACCTGGCTTATGCAAACTCATTGCTCTCATCTTCAGAAGCCTAGCAAACACTTAATTCCGAAGCAGAAACAAATACAGAACAAGCCGCGAGAGCACCGCAAGACCAGGAGTCACCGTTTTCCTCCCATGTGTGCTTATACCTCTTTCTAACGCCAGAGAACTATGGTTTTTATTTTTTCCTCCCTAACTGGCCACCTGTGCCAAATCTTGGCGGTGGACCCGGGGATGATAACTGGTAATGAGCCCCTGTTTGCTGGGGCTGGTAGGCAGTATTGCCTGACGACTGTCCTCAACAGAAGAAACAAAAAGGATCTGGTCAAAGGAGGAGAAAGCCCTCGTAACCACAGACTGGTGGTAATAACAGCCAGACAGGACAGGATTATGTTCGGTGTCCCTTTAGCATGAAAATTACTCACAAAAGATATAGTATGTCCTTTTGCAGGAAACAAATGACCCTTTCATGTCGTGAGCCCTGGAGATAAAAGGATTTAATGCGTGCTATGAGACAGAATGAGGATGGAGGAGAGGTCCTCTAAGCTATCCCCCCCCTTACCAGGAGGAGATCCTTTCCAGAAGAAAGTTCACGTGAGTTTTAGCCAGAGTCCCTCACCCTGTTTTCCAGAAGGCAGAAAAAACTGTCTGCCCCTGACCTTCCTGGCTGCATTTTGGCAGAGCAAGGCCACGTATTTGATTTCACTTTTTGGACCATCATCAATTCCTTGTTTTCAGGGAAATGAGAGTAATAGAGCAGCTACCGGCGTATTTTGACAGCGCTGCTTGCAGCGAGTCTAATGCTTTGGTCTGTACCTCTCCTCTCGCACATATCACTCAGAAACCCCCAAACCCTTGCAATTCTGTGCTGGGTGCAGGGCAGACCCACGGGAGGATCGTGCAAGCCCTCCACGCACGCATCCGTGCGCAGGGCGGCCAAACAGCCCGGAGGAAATGAGTCCACTGCAAAAACAGGATTTCGTTTCCGCATATGTGTATCCCATGACCGTGCTTGCGATACGGCATCTCCGTGATGGGGACAACCCCGGAGGGGGAGAAAACTTTCCCTTATTGCTGGCTATCAAGATGGGCTTGTTCGGCCCCCAGTGAGCAATATTTGGGAGGCTGAAAGTGCCACTGCTGTTGGAGTGCCTGGACAGGGCTGGTGTGGGAATTCTGGGGTCAGGAGCTGTGAGCATGTGAAAAGCCACCCAAAACATAAAAGGCAAGGCGTGACAGTTTGTGCCGACGCAGCGCCTTGCAACATCAGTCAAGGGCCGCAATTTTCAGCCACTGTGCACCACCGCTAACCACGCCATGGAGTGATGATCTGGTTGTAACCCCGTTGCAGGAGATGCATGGTATTTTGCAGGCTAGGGAAGGTGCTTGGAGGGGAGTAGCTTGTTTGGAAAGGTCATGGTTTGGAGCACAAAAAAAAAAATGAAAAAAATGGCACAAAACGCAAAGCGAAAGGACATGTCCCGTCCCTCCTCTCATCAGCCCACCCGAAGCCACCACCTCTCCACATAGCTCCTCTGATTAATTCCCTGCCCAACAGCTTCCCGCTTCCTATTTTGGTAACGCCTCCCCCACCCCCACCATCCACCTTGTTGAAACAGCTCAGATTGGCTGAAAATCTATTAATAGTGAGAAAAGGAAACCCAAAAGAATAACTTAGGAAATGGTGGGTGACACACCCCACGCCGGCGGGCTGAGCCCGGCTCGGAGCCTTACGCCAGCCGGCTCCTGCTCCTCCCAAGGCGGGATGAGAAAGCTTAAGAGCCCGAGCAACCCACGGAAGGGGAAGGGATGTGAGCTAGGCCTGAGGAAGTTCCTATTTGCCTCCCCCCCC